GCCCTCAACCGGCACCGCCTCTGGGAGATGGTGAGAAGGGGGTGAGCCCAGGGGCCCTCAGTGTCCTCTCATTTTGTCCCCGCTTCCTCTTGTGCCCACAGCTGAGTAGAGAGTCTCTCTGTCCCTTATCCAACCCCTCATCTTCCAGGTCTCAGCTGAAACAAACATCTCCTCCATTGGGAAGCCTCCAGGTGCCCCGGGGTGGGTGAGGTGCCCTGCTCTGGGCTCCCATAACACCCCAGCTTCCCTCCACTATAGAACATTTCAAGTGCTCCTATCTCCTGGTCCTGCCCCTGCATGACCCATGACCATGCTGGCCAGACAGGCTTGTAAACAATATGGAGAGATCAGTGCTTGAGTAGACGTGTGCAAAAGATTGTGGGATTGGAGATGAGGAACAGGAATTAGTTCTGCCTTCAAAGGAAGAAACTGGGGAAGAGGTCACAGAAGATGGGATATTTGAGCTGGGCTGTGGAGGCTGAGTAGGAGCCCACCAGGAAGAGGTGTTAGCCTGGAAGAGACAGAGAGGCAGAAGGGTTTGGGGCATTTTTAAGTGATGCAGGGGTGTGTTTGGGGGTGTGCAGACTGAGGAGGTAGGAGTGATGGGGGGACACTGGACCTGAGCATGAAGGGCCTTGAGTGCTCAGCTAAGGACTTTCTGTCAAAGTCACGGGGGACCAGTACAGTGAGTGAGACAGGGTCAGGTCTGGGCTTTAGGAAGACGCTGTGGGTCAGTGTGGAGCTGGATTGGAGAACACAGGGACCCGAGGCTGGGGGAGGCTGCCAGGAACAGCCCTACTCTGACCTACCCCAGCGTCCCCAGGTGAGAGAGGGGGATTCTTGGCCCTGGCAGGCTCCACCTAGAGGGTGGGGGCTGTAGGGCTGGAGGCCCCAGGCTGAGACTGTCACCCTCCACAGGTGGGGCGCTGGGAGCATGGCGTCCTATACATGAAGTACCCTGTGTGGCCTCGCTACAGTGCCTCTCTGCAGCCCGTGGTGGACAGTCGGCACCTGACGGTGGCCACGCTGGAAGAGAGGCCCTTTGTCATCGTGGAGAGCCCCGACCCTGGCACAGGAGGCTGCGTCCCCAACACCGTGCCCTGCCGCAGGCAGAGCAACCACACCTTCAGGTCTGCGGAGTGCCCTGGGAGGCTGGTGTGAGCTGGGTGCTGCTGTGTGATGGTCAGGTGTTGTGTATGTCTCATGCTTGGGTGTGGGGCAGGGGTCCATGTGCCAGGCTGGGAGGAGCGGCTGGGGAGGGGCTGGGCCACGACCTGCTCTAACTCCCGGTGGTCTCATGGTGGCATGACTGCAGCAGCGGGGACGTGGCCCCCTACACCAAGCTCTGTTGTAAGGGATTCTGCATCGACATCCTCAAGAAGCTGGCCAGGGTGGTCAAATTCTCCTACGACCTGTACCTTGTGACCAACGGCAAGCATGGCAAGCGGGTGCGCGGCGTATGGAACGGCATGATTGGGGAGGTAGGCCCCACCCCACTCCCTCCTCACCTGCCCCGCCTGTCTGCCTGCTGCCCAGGCTCCATGCGGCTCTCAGATGCCCTCTAGAGGGGGGCATGGGCTGTCACCAGTGATGACTCCTGGGATGGTCAGTACTGAAAGCTGAGCTCTGAGGGCCCCAGAGGGAACGACTGATTCAGCCGGTGGGTGTTAGAAGGGGTGCCTGGAGGTGCCTGTGAAGTGTGCCTACCCCTCGGGAGCCCGTTTTCCAAACCTCCCTGGCGTCTGGCCCCCAGGTGTACTACAAGCGGGCAGACATGGCCATCGGCTCCCTCACCATCAATGAGGAGCGCTCCGAGATCGTAGACTTCTCTGTGCCCTTCGTGGAGACGGGCATCAGTGTGATGGTGGCTCGCAGCAATGGCACCGTCTCCCCCTCGGCCTTCCTGGGTGAGGCCCAGGGTGGGGCAGAGATGGCTTCGGGGCCAGAGGGGCCCACAAGGAGGGTGTGTACAGCTTGGGTGGAGATGGGGAGTTGGGTGGGCTCTCAGAGGCCAAGCACAGCAGCCTTGGGTCTTGGAGGTTGGCTGGAGGTGAGTGGAAAGGAGACAAGAGAAGTGAGGTCGGTGTTCGGTTCTAGGTATGGCTGCCAGGCGAGGGTGGGGTTGGGGGTGTGGGATGGGTCATGGTGCCCCTGTGAGTGACAGGAAAACTTGGCAGGCAGGCTAGCCTCAGGATGGGCCATGGGCCAGGACCGTGGAACAAGTGGGGGAGGCCCGTGGGGAGCCGAGGAGTGAGTGTAGTGTGGGAAGAGGTGTGTTGCTTCCTGGGTGAGGAGTCCAGCATTGGTTGGGCAGCCAGGTCCCATGCTGGGTGCTGGGGCTACAGCCATAATCCTTGCCTTCCCACAGTGCCCAGTCTGAGGTCACGTGGGACATGCAGTATGAGGTGGCAGAGAGCTGTGAGCACAGGCAAGGGGCAGGGGAAGAGCTGAGGCTGGCCAAACAGGAGTGAAAACCTCGGCTCTGCCCTGTCCTACTGTGCGGCCTTGGGCAAGTCACAGAACCTCTCTGAGCAGGCTCCTCAGCCACGGAAGAGAGAAAACAAAACCCATTTCATAGCATAGCAAAGGCTCATGACAGGAGTGATTTCCCTTCCTCCCTCCCTCCCTCTCTCCTTCCCTCTCTTCCTTTCTTCTTTCCTTTTTTTTTTTGTTTTTTAAGATGGGGTCTTCCTCTGTCACCCAGGCTGGAGTGCAGTGGTGCCATCTCGGCTCACTACAGCCTGGACTTCCTGGACTCAAGTGATCCTCCCACCTCAGCCTCTTGAGTAGCTGGGACCACAGGTGCATGCCGCCACACCTGGCTAATTTTTGTATTTTGTATAGAGACAGGTTTTCACTATGTTGCCCAGGCTGGTCTCCAAACTCCTGGACTCAAGCAGTCCACCTGCCTCAGCCTCCCAAAATGCTGGGATTACAGGTGTGAGCCACTGCACCTGGCCAACAGTAGTGATTTCTTTTCTTTTTTTTTGAGACTGAGTCTCGCTTTGTTGCCCAGGCTGGAGTGCAGTGGTGCAATCTCAGCTCACTGCAACTGACGCCTCCCGGGTTCAAGTGATTCTCCTGCCTCAGCCTCCTGAGTAGCTGGGACTACAGGCATGTGTCACCATGCCTGGCTAATTTTTGTATTTTTAGTAGAGACGGGGTTTCACCATGTTGGCCAGGCTGGTCTTGAACTCCTGATCTCAGGTGATCTGCCCACCTCGTCCTCCCCAAGTGCTGGGATTACAGGTGAGAGCCACCAAGTCCAGCCAGCAGTAGTGATTTCTTACACTAGGAGATAGAAATAGTCTTGTCCGAGGCCTGGGGTGGGTCTCTCCAGTTCCCTGGGCACGGGTTTCCATGTTGGTAGGATGAGGAGTAAGACTTGGCCTCAGGGGCCCTGATTCCAGGCGGAACCACCAGATCATTCACTTGGGGACAGGCAGGGGTTGTGAAGTCAAAAGAACGTTTCTTGGGGTGGGTGACTTGTACCTGTCCCAGGGAAGTGGGGGGCAGGGGGAGACCAAGGATGCTGGAGATGCTGACCTCTTTTAGGGGCCTCTCCTGGGGCTCTGCTGCTCTGAGTCAGGAGCCCCCTTGGCTGGGTCCGCAGAGCTGGTGGGCCCCTACTTTGACCACGTGGACCCCACCTGTCTCCACCCAGTGCTTCCGGGCTGGGGGCAGGGACAGGGAACGGGAACATGCCGAGGCCTCTGAACTGCCTCCCTCTGTCCCCAGAGCCATATAGCCCTGCGGTATGGGTGATGATGTTTGTCATGTGCCTCACCGTGGTGGCCATCACCGTCTTCATGTTCGAGTACTTCAGCCCCGTCAGCTACAACCAGAACCTCACTAGAGGCAAGAGTAAGCCTCGCCTGGACCTGGCACGAGGGGCGGGCCTGGGCACCCTGAGGGTTGGGCTCAGGGGCAACGGGTCCTCCAGAGAATACCTTTGGGAGGTCCCTTGCCTTTGGATGACACATGCTGGGGACCAGTCAGATCACACACACACACACACACACACACACACATACACACGCACACACGGGCGAGCTCACTTGACCTGGTGAGGGAATGGCCAGGGACGGATGCCCCCCAAGGCCAGGCTGAGCCCTGAGCCCTTTCCTGGTGGGCAGGAGGAGCCCCAGCATCCCCCTCTTGCCCCCAGAGTCCGGGGGCCCATCTTTCACCATTGGCAAGTCCGTGTGGCTGCTGTGGGCGCTGGTCTTCAACAACTCGGTGCCGATCGAGAACCCGCGGGGCACCACCAGCAAGATCATGGTTCTGGTCTGGGCCTTCTTTGCTGTCATCTTCCTCGCCAGCTACACGGCCAACCTGGCCGCCTTCATGATCCAGGAGCAATACATCGACACTGTGTCGGGCCTCAGTGACAAGAAGGTTGTGGGGCCACAGGGTGGGGGGACACTGAGGGTGGGGACAGGCCGTGAGTGGGCAGACCCAGGACAGTCAGAGTCTGGGGAATTTGAGCTGGAAGCTGGGGCAGGAAGAAGCTTCAGGGCCTGCTGAGGAGGGGGTGGGGGCTGGGGCAAGAGATGGCTCAGGGTCACCGACTGAGAGGCCTTGGGTAAGTCTCTCCCTGTCTTGGGCCTCAGAGTCTCCATTTGGAAAACACAGGAGTGGCCTGGACAGCCTTTAAGACCTTCTGCTCTGACTATGCAAGTCCACACTGTGGGGCTGGGCTCTGGGGTGGGTTTGGGGCTTTGGTGCCTGGAAGGCTGGAGGAAGGGTTGTGACTGGCTGCTGCCCTCCACCTGCAGTTTCAGCGGCCTCAAGATCAGTACCCACCTTTCCGCTTTGGCACGGTGCCCAACGGCAGCACAGAGCGGAACATCCGCAGTAACTACCGTGACATGCACACCCACATGGTCAAGTTCAACCAGCGCTCGGTGGAGGACGCGCTCACCAGCCTCAAGATGGGGTGGGTCCCCAGCCCTGCACCCGCTGTCTCCATCCACGTGTCTCCCCAGTGACCAGCCTTAGCTCTCAATGTAGGGACAGTGGGACTGAGCTGCCCTGCAGGACTCCTGGGGGGTGGAGGGAGGAGGTCTTGGGGCAGAGTGAGGCAAAAATGGAAGGCCACCATGTGTCTCAGAACACAGCTGTGGTGCCGACCGAAGTTCAGCCTCGGCCTGAGGTGGTGGCTGGGACATCCTCTGAGCCTTAGGAGCATGGAGGGGGTGGGCAGAAAGGGTGGTGTCTCCTGGCCACTCTGCGGAGGAGGGTGGGAGGGGTCCTCACAGCATCCAGGACCCAAGACAACCAGACAAGGCTCTGCCCATTGGTCCCTCCCAGCAAGCTCATGTGGTTTAGACCCCTGTCACGCCCCAGTTTCGGTGTCCCCTACCCTCCCATATGGTCCCTAGCTCTGAGGCTCAGCCTGTCCCCAGGAAGCTGGATGCCTTCATCTATGATGCTGCTGTCCTCAACTACATGGCAGGCAAGGACGAGGGCTGCAAGCTGGTCACCATTGGGTCTGGCAAGGTCTTTGCCACCACTGGCTACGGCATCGCCATGCAGAAGGACTCCCACTGGAAGCGGGCCATAGACCTGGCACTCTTGCAGTTCCTGGGGGACGGTGGGTACTGCCACTGCTGGGATGCCCAGGGTGGGCTGTGGAGCCCAAGGTTGTCAGCATTTCCACCACCACTCAAGTTCCCAAGGCCTGTGGGCAGGGAGAGGTCTCTGGGGGGTGAGAGGTTGGGGCAGTTGAGGGGGGCAGGTATAGAAGCAACTGGAGAGAGACTTGAGGAAGGGATAGGTGTGCAGGGAGGGAGCAGGAACTGGGCTAGAGACTCCCTCAAAGGCAGGAAGACAGGAAGGGGCTCAGGCCTCACGGTGGGGGTGGGGATGGGTGGAGTGGCTGAACTCTTTTCTTCTTCCCTAAGCCCCCTCCCATGATCTCTCCCAGATGAGCACCTCCTTTGCTCGGTATAGTATCTCCATGGCCATCTTGAGATTATGGATCTGCTTAGTCCTACATGTGTGAGTGGTCCAGCCCAGCCTGCCCCCAAACCCAGAGAGAGCTTTGCGTTTAGAGGAGTTCCATTCTTGTTAGATAAGACATGGTCTAGACTGGGTGTGGTGGCTCATGGCTATAACCCCAGCACTTTGGGAG